CAGCTCATTTTATTCCTATTAACATCAGTTTTTTAGTGTCGAAGTTGGCTGAGATTTACACTAGTGTGATTGTGAAGTTGCATGGTGTTCCTTTGTGCATTGTGTCAGATAGAGATCCAAGATTTACTTCTGATTTTTGGAAGAGTTTGCAAGAAGCGTTGGGTTCTAAGTTGAGGTTGAGTTTAGCGTATCATCCTCAGACAGATGGTCAGACTGAACGGACGATTCAATCGTTGGAAGACTTGTTGAGGGCATATGTTCTTGTGCAGGGAGGTTCGTGGGATACTTATCTTCCGTTGATAGAGTTCACGTATAATAACAATTACCATTCTAGTATTGGGATGGCACCTTTTGAAGCATTGTATGGTCGAAGATGTAGAACTCTGTTATGTTGGCATGAATCTGGTGAGAGTGTAGTACTTGGACCTGAACTTGTTCGTGAGACTACTGAGAAGGTGAAGGTGATTCAAGAAAAGATGAAAGCTTCACAAAGTAGACAGAAGAGTTATCATGACAAGCGAAGGAAAGATTTAGAATTTCAAGCTGGTGATCATGTGTTTTTGAGAGTTACACCTGTGACTGGTGTTGGACGAGCATTGAAGTCTAAGAAGCTCACTTCTCGTTTTATTGGACCGTATCAGATTTCAGAGAGAGTGGGGAATGTTGCTTATAGAGTGACTTTAACGCCTAATCTTTCGAATTTGCATGATGTGTTTCATGTGTCGCAACTTCGGAAGTATATTTCATATCCATCTCATGTGATTCATATGGACGATGTGCAAGTACGGGATAATCTTACGGTGGAGACAATGCCTGTACGAATCGCGGATCGTGAAATAAAGACTCTGAGGGGCAAAGAGATTGCCTTGGTTAAGGTGGTTTGGCTAGGAGTTGCTGGTGAAAGCATGACTTGGGAGTTGGAGAGCAAGATGCGAGACTCCTATCCTGAATTGTTTGATTGAGATAAATTTTCGAGGACGAAAATATTCTAAGTGGGGGAGAGTTGTAACGCCCGTAATTTAATTAATTATTTAATTAAATTATTTTTGGAATATTTGAGAAGATGTGTTATGATTAATTAGATTTATTTATTAAGTGGAGAAATAATATTAGAATTATAATACTATTGGATGTGGGCTTGTTTTTGAAGGAATAAAAGTAATAATGGGGGTGTATTAGTTTGGAGCCCAATAACGAATAAAGAAATAATAGGGTTATTTTATAGTTGTTGGAATAGAATAGAAAGAAAGAAGCAATAGAAGAATAAGGATTGAGAAGGAGAACGTGAAGTTGTTGGAAAAAGTGGAAAAACGGCAGAACGAGAATTCAACCCGAAATTATAGAGCGACCTTCAATCCAAGGGATTCTGACTTTATAATTGGGTTCATGATGATTGATATGTGGAGTTAGAGGTGATTGCTGTTTTGTTCTTGAATTGGATGTATATGATGATGTATGATGAAGATTTGATAAATTTTAGATGAATAATAATGACATGATATTGTTTGATCGGTGTAGTATTATAGGATGAATATAGGTGATGATAATGATTATATTAAGTTTGCAGGGTTAAAATATGAATCCCGTAGTGAGATGCAGGGAAGAAATCGCAGAATTATGCAGGAATGATCAGGATGTGTCGACCTCAAACATGATGCGTCGATACATGAGTGATGTTAGACTTAGTATGAGTCGACACGAAGAGGCTTGCGTCGATACATGAAGGTTGAAAGACTCGGGATGAGTCGATCGGTGGGATGCATGTGTCGATACATGTTGTATGCAAGACTCAGGATGAATCGATCCATGAGAGGATGTGTCGACTCATGTTGTGCAGTTAGAGCAGTACACGTCGATCCAAGGGGTTTCGCGTCGATCCATAATGCCTGATTTTTGGCAGATTTAGTTTTAAAGTGCTGTAACTTGAGTTTTAGGATGCTGTTTGAGATGCCGTTCAAAGCGTTGAATAGCTAACGCGATGAACTTTATTTTAGAGGATTAAAATGAAGAATAAGAAGTGTAATCCTAGTAGCCAATTTAGGATTTAGAATTCATCCCCATGATGGTCGTTGCGTTGGTTTTGTACAGAATGATGAAGATTAGATGCTTAGAAGCTGTTGTTTGAGTTATAACAGTAGGATAGTGACAGTAACGATGTAAGAATTATAGAATAGCAGTATGAATTACTGTGGTGTTAATGTACAACTGAGTTGTTAGTGAGAAATTGTTAATGATGTTGTGTTGATGATTTATAATAAATGATGTTTGATGAATTATTATGATGATATGAGATGTTGATGACGAGACGTTGAGATGCTTTTGAGATGTTGTTAATTTGAGATGAATTTTGAGATGTTGTTAAATTGAGATGGATTTTGAGATGTTGTTAATTTGAGATGAATTTTGAGATGTTGATTTGAGATGTTGATTTTGAGATGTTGATTTGAGATGTTTTTGAGATGATGTTGATTTGAGATGTTGTTAACTTGGGTGTTGTTATTACATTCATGATTGTGTCACATACATTGCATTTTTTTGAGATGGAGCTTATGCTCGTTGAGATGGCTTGTATTGGCGAATTTTGAGATGAAGGCTTATGCCTTGTTGATGCCTCTATTAATTGGCAAATTTTTGAGATGGGAGTTCTGCTCCAATGGTACCACATGTATTTGCATAGTATTGAGTCGCATTATATGATTGCATAAAGAAGTGTATTTTGATGTTGATAAATGTGTATATGCGTTGTAATTATTGTTGATTATGGGATGAGAAGTGGTGATGTTATTGATCTAATTTAATATATTAATTATCATGCGCTTTATTATATTGTTAGATATTTCACCCCTTATGTTTGAATGTTGCCCTTATGTTGGTAACGTGCAGGTAATCGAGAGTGAAGGTCGTATACCTTCAATAATTCGAGTCGGTGTCATTGCTCTGATATGTAAGACTCGGGGGATGAACGCTTGCTGTTTTTAATTGTTGATTTTCAGTTGTGGAACTTTAAGTTGATTATTATTAATATTTACTGTTTCGAAGTTGCTGTATTGATGATAAAATTGTTATTGAGAATTTCGCTGCGTAGATGTTGAGTTATTTAATTAAAGATGTTATGATGGCTCATCCGATATTTTGAAAGTGTTATATATCCACGATGAATGCAATGAATTTTGATAGAAGAATTTGTGACGTCGCGATTCGTTTGCATGATATAAATTTTATAACTCTGATTTATTTATATAATTTGTCGGGGTAGAATTGGGGTGTTACAAGACTCCATGAAGGTCGGGCTCAGGGTAACCTCTAGATCCAGGGTATGAGCCCGGCATCTACCTCTTCATCTTCTTCCATGGTCGATTACATGACCCTTCGATCACACAAACCATTTTAGGCCTCGACCCGAGGTGGTAACCGACTGATTATCTACTTGCTTTTCTCGATCTTTCAACCATACTTTGCCTTTTATCTCTTTTAGCTTAGACAATAGATCTATGTATCAATAGTAAGGTTCAGGACAAAATGCAAGTAACAAAGGTGTGAAGAATAATATACCTGACCCTCTAGTGAAAGAGGATATTTATAGCCATCAGCGATGGGCCAAGGTCTCCATTTAGATCGGATGCCCATGCCCAAAATGGAGACTGTCAGGATCCTACATGGATAGAGGAGACCAGTCCGTGGTCTCTATCCTGGTTCAACTGCTCAATGATTCTCGGAGGATGAAGACCTGTTCTTTTCGGGAGCAGGATGACTCTGTGATAGTCGTAGAATCATTGACTACATACCATTTAGCGGGCATGCACGTGCTGAGGAGCAGGTCCCCGACGGGCATACTTAGGAGAGGTTTCCAACGTGCGCGTGTTAAGGAGCAAGTCCCCGACGGACATACTTGGGAGATATTCTCGATGTGCGCGTGCTGAAGAACAGGTCCCCGATTGACATACTTAGGAGAGGTTCCCGACGTGCCCGTGCGAAGAGCAGGTCCTCGTCGGACACATGTGGAAAATGTTCTCCTACCGTCATAGCAACGTGGACTTACCCGACTGAGGACCAAGTGCAAGTCTGACTCTCAATAGATTATTGAGCCTCTAGTAGCACTGGTCTGAACCTAACTTAACGATAGAAGATTATTGAGCCTCTAGTAGCACTAGTCTGAACCTAACTTAACGATAGATTAAATATCGACCCAATCTAAAACTGATTCCCGCTCCACATTCTGCTCCAACATATTCTACCATAATTTACGGTTCCAACAAGTAAATTAGTTCTGAAAGTTTGTATGGTCAATTCGATTCATGTCATATATATGACATAGTTGTCACATGCCATGGCTGATTAATTGAATAGATTATAATGATTAATTATGGTAATAATGTCTTATTTAAATATTAATTGTATCTTCTGATTCCCTGCGAAAATTCTGATAATATATGCTCTTCAATCTCATATAAGAAGAAAAAATCAACTAAAGTGGTACAAAATATATCTTATATTTACTATCTATAATTAATAATAACATTCCTACAAGATTTTCATCTAATCTAAAATCTTGGATTTAAAAAATATAAGTTCCAATAAAATATAATTTGGATCATGCAATTAGTTTTATATTATATAAAAAAATTAGATGATATTAACTAATTTTTTACACTTAAAAAAGAGGGGGGAGTATGCATTCAGTGAATTGCAGCTTATCATAAATAACCATAGAGGAATCATGCCCTCAATACATATATAATATAAATTCATTCAGTTTAAGCGTATACACAAAAAGTTGATTGCAACAAATACATATATAATACAGAATAGTAGGTGATACAAACTGAAAATATAATGGTGCTTTATGTTTTTATTTATACCAAATTCAAACAACCATGATACTCTTTTCAGCAAAATCTGGAAAAGAAGGAGGCAGCAGTTCAACGACGTGTGAAATCATATCGAAACAAATGTAATAGCATACACCAGAATATCACTTCCAAGATGAGGAAGAATATTGTTCAAGCCCCACGACCCATTGCCTGCTCTGCAGGAGGGATCATAACCAATACTGGTTGGGCATTGAAGCCAGGATGAGGCATTCTACGGCGGAGCTCACGGCCTTCTTGACAAAGAGCGCATGCATGACAAAAGAAATGAGTTGCAAAGTCACATGCCAACTCGCACTGTTCGCGCTGCGCCTCATCTTCCAAAAAGCTTCCGCAGCACCCACATGACCTATTAAGTGCTTCACAACTTCCCTGATTTCCAAGGACCACAAATAGTTAATACAATAACTGATTATTCTTCTCAAATATGATGACATAGGATTGTGATTTCTGTGCTTGAGACAATGGCAGAGAGAAAGAGGGAGCTAGAGTAATCAGAGAAAGGGGAGGGAGTAGGAGGGGGAAGAGGTGGAAACAGAGAAAAATTTCACTTCTACTAATCTGGAATTTAATTATATAGCCTTTTCATCTATGAAGGAAGGGAATATAAAAGGCACTAGGAGACACAAATTATTTTTAAGCAAATACAGAGTTGATGCTGAATACACTTGAATTTAACCTGAACAAAACTTCACGCATGCCGACTGAACAATCAACTCCCTATAAAACCTAGATAAAGAATATCCTAACGATAGGACTATAGTCATGGTAATCCATAAAAGATAGACAAAATCATCTTCATGCAGAAGACATCAGGTTAAGATTATTCTCAATACAAAACACAAACTAAAACGACTCAGTACAGATTCACCATACTTGACATATCCATTGTATTAGAATTACCTATACAATGTTTACTTACAACATACCTCTGGACAAATTAAATTAACACATGGAAAAATTTCTCAAGTCCAGACTCATTTTGTAAACAGCAATGCAAATGGAAAGAGATTTGGATAATGATATTTAAAAAAGAGAACATAAAAAGATGGGGAATTCAAACGTTCCAACTTAACAGAGTAGAAGACCCAATTTGCATGTTGAATAGTGTCTAGTTGGAGTATATACAATGTATCTACTGCTAGTGTCAATGCTTTATTGTAAATAATTTAAGAGGTTCAAACTTTAAAGTACACAGGTTGATCAATTTAATGAAGTCAGGAAAACAACAGCATTCATTCTTGGGGCTAAGTACATGTGATATAATATTTCTCTATAACAAAGGATACCAGTGGCAGCAGCTATATAGATGGATCGCAATGGGTCAGAAAACTGAACTGAAGGTCTTGACCTCTCTTGCCTACCCCTAAGTTACTACTTAAATACCTGCCTTCTATACTCTTATCTCATTTTGTATCTTGTATCTAACATGTTACAGCAGAATTTTCCTCAATTTACCCCCTGAGGTTTTTGACAGTTAGTTATTGACAGTCATGACAATACCCCGTCCACTCAATAAGGGTGTTCAAAAACCATTTTGAACTGAACCGCACTGCAGTTCTCATAAAATAAATAACCAAACCAAACATTTGACCACAGTTTACACCATTCGTTTGAAATCAGATCATGAACCTAAATTTTATTTTAATACAATTCGTTGAGCGGTAAAAATACAAACTGCAGTACTTCCAGTCTCTCATGCTCTCAAATATCGGTTTCTAACATCATGAACCGTAAATTGCAAATCCCAAACTCAAATATCATCCTTCCCTTTTTCATGAACCATAGGTTCCCAAATCTTTCATTCATAATTGCATCTAGATCTTTCATTTCTAGAAAGAGGGAGGCGAAGTTTGAGAGGCATTGAGAATTATTATTAAAAAGTTAGGAAAGTTACTCTTTGATTTGGGAGTTCATCGAACTCTGGTTTAGCTATTTCATTAATGTCCTCCACCATTGTATGAGCTTGAGGCTCACCATTTCTAATCAATAAAATTCAGTTCCTTCAAGCACTAATGCTATGTTTGGATCGATGGAACATAAAGGAGTGGACCGGAATGGAACATAATGGAATAGAGATTCCACTCCATTGTTCGGGTATTCTATAAGTAACATTCAATTTCATTGCATACACCACAAATCGGATGGAATAAAAAATGGAGGATTGAGTGGAATGGGTTGGAATGGATTCCATCAGGTTTCATTCCACTACATCCATTATTTGCAAATCCAAACAATGGAATCACATTATTTACCACTCTATTTCATTCCATTCCATCACATAACACCAATCCAACGTACACTAGAAGAGTTTTTGCTTGTCTTTATTATCGAACAATGTTATTTTCAGCAATGGCCATTTTCCAGCTTCAGTGTTTCATTATCATTAACAACTTACATATTTGAAAATTATCACGCCTTTGTAACAAAACTAGTAGTGTTTTGTTCGAGCGAACTGGTTTAAACTCCAGTTCATATGGTTTGGTTAATCTTGAACACAAACTATGACCACCCTTACCACTTAGGGCTTCTGATGACCTACAATTCTACGTCACACACCTCTCACAAATCCCAATAGGAGGTTGTTAGCAGGCCCAATACACAAGGCCCAAGTTAATGTATTTGTGTTTAGCCATGTTTTAAAATAAGGATGAGAAGACAGATCCTTATTCAGTTGTTTTTTGTGGGTTGGTTTGGTAGAGACTGGACACACTATAATTCCTAGAGAATTGTCAAAGTTCCCAGAGGTTATTTGTATATCTCTTACAGTTACCAATTGCTGTCTTGTTTGTAATCAGTAATTACTCGTGTGGAGGTTATTCCCAGAGTTGATACTGTCTTTCATCAATGAACATTATCGTCTCTATATTATTCTCATATCTATATCAGTTTCCATCAGAGGTTTCATGACATATGATCACTACATAACAATAGGCAAAGAACAAAACAATAACTAACCTCCAAATTAAACCTGCGCCGTATCGCAGTCCGGCTAGGATATGAAAACCACGGAGCAAGACAATTCCAACCACAGCAGGAATTCCCAATTACATAGAGGCCAGAATAATGCAAACAATGATTTGCAAATGTCCCCGGATTATTGGACCCAAGTCTCTCAACATTGCTTCCATACAGCACACAAGGAGCCACACTCCCAAGAAGACCTACCATGTATCAATTTCAACCATAAGAAAAGTGTATAAATATATATCTTATGAATCCATATGGAAGCTAGATCCAATATCCACAATCACTTTTGCTTCATAAACATAACAAAATCGTTTGATTTAGGGTTACGCAGATGAACAAAAACCTAAAAACCTAAAAACCTAAAAACCTAAAAACCTAAAAATTCCGAAGAAAGAGACTTACAAACTTCTAGATCGCTGCTGCAAAAGTGATCGCTTTGACCGAGACAAGCGCAGACGTTGGAATTCCAAGGAGAACGAGGAATAGGCTGGCCCATTACGCTTCCATGGGCCATGGGAACACCGTCAGCGGTCCATAGATGAAAAAGTTCCTGCTGTGTTGGTTGTTGTTCAGCTGATTTAGGTTGTTGGTGGTGGAGAAGAGGACTTGCCTCTTCGTCGTGATTGAGTTTCTTGTTATCATCAGCCATTGATGATGATTATGATGATTCAGAGAACAACAATGGAGAGAAATTTGGGAGAAAAGAGATGTCGGTGGAAGCTAAAGTCCCTCCGCGTCGGTTTTCTCTTTTTATGCGCTCTAGTTCTAACGTTGTTTTTGACGGAAAATGCAATGTAATGTTAGTTAATTACAATTTCTGTTTTCATCGTGTTGGAATGTAAAATAAAACTAACCACGCGTATTCTTCTACCTTCCTTGTTAAGATATTGTTGGTCAATTTCTGTTATCACGTGAACGATTTGTTACGAAAAGAAATGAATTTTAGAATTTATACACTTTCTTCATCATCATGATAATCTTTTGCTTTTATATAAATTTAAGGTGGTTAGTCACCACTTATACAATAAAAAAAATGTTTGGGGAATTTGTGTTGTAAGAGACCAATTGCATATTTTTATTTTTCTTAATTGTTTTGAAAATTGCAAATTTAATTATAATATTAATGGGAAAATTGAGAGGACAGTAGTGAAAATTGTTGAAAATCTACTAAAATTTATGAAGAATTTCTATTAATTTAATGAATAGGTTTATTATCACTACACAATAATGATGAAAAAAATTAAAAAAGAAAAGATATTAGGGTTTCTACGGAGTTTCTCTCTGCTCACAAACTGTGAAAAAAATCTATTCACTTGCAAGTGCAAGTTCTGTGAATACTCTTTCTGAGTTCGTTCTGAGTTGATTACAAAAAATAAGGGTTACTCTATCTATTTATAGTTTTAGGTTAGCTTTCCCTCTAAGTCAAAGCCCAAAATACAAAAGCCCAAAATATTTATTTTGGATCTAAATCAAATTCATGTGGGAAGCAACCTGCTTCGTCACTTCGACGCACACTCCGATAAACTAAGCTAAGTTATTTCGACACACCTTGTGTTGAGCAACATGTTACTTTTGACACAAGGAATTACACTTTCAACACACCGCCAAATTCATTGTGTCTAAGATATCTATATTCATCGTAGCTCTTAGTCTTCTGAACACTTTGACCTGTACACCCTTCGTTATGATGTCTGTAATCTGATTCTCAGTTATGTAGTATTCCAAGTCCATCTTCTCATCTACTACCTGCTCTTGAAGATAATAGAATTTCATCTCGATGTGCTTGCTTCGACCATGTGCTATTGGATTCTTCGCCAGGTTGATAACTGGCATGCTGTCGATCTTCATGGCAATTGCTTCATGATCTTTACCTGAGCTTGATCCAAGGCTTTCTTCAAGTTATCTATTTCTTCTAAGGACATAGGCAGAGGATCTGGTACATCTGGCTTGTACTCAGGACCAATGTCAAATGGTATCTTAATAACTTGCACCCTATCCAAAATCTATCGAGTGTAAGGTTCTTTCGCCATAACATTTTTCCTTTTGGCCTTTCTTTTGTTAACCCTATTTCAAGCTCGAATAATCTTGTTGAGCAACTGTCATTCATTTTTTCCCATGTCGTGAATGATTAATTGTTGAAGTTGTTCATCGGAGGGTTTATCCTCCAAAGGGTATCCAAGTTGTCGCAAAGTCAAAGTAGGGTTGTAATTGATGCAACCACGCGACCCGATCAATAGAGCATTTGAAAAATCTCCACAACTGTAAATGATGTCTCCAATGTTTAGCTTCCTCGCATACCATCACACAGAATCAACAGTAAGAGACCTTAACTTTTTAGGCCACTCAAATCGTTTCAAAGTTTTAATCATATAGTCCTCCTTATAGAGGTGAGACATAAACCAAGAATATAGAAGCGGGATACAACAATTCAGCGTACCCCTCCCCTTTTCATACCGAGTGTGAAGAGCATAGTAAATATCAGCAAGTAAAGAAGGAGTTGGGTCTGCATTCAAAGCTTTCGCACCCCAAAACACACTAATAGCTTCAGGGTCAATATAGTCTAAAGTCCGTAGAAACAAAATCATACCAAAGACAAGCAGTCCTAAACAATCAACACAAGACTCCCATTCTTTCTTATTAGCAAAAGAAAGGGCTTTAGCCTCTAAATATTGTCTTTTAATTCCTTGTACATCACCTTCTTTTTTGTAAATAACGGAAAATTTGGGGTAAGAGATCCCTAAACCTTTTGCTAAGTCCTTAACATCAATACTTTGTTCAATTCCCACATAAGCCTTTTCTTTAGAAAATTCAAGAGTCTATCAAATTCTTCCAAAGTTGGCGTTAGCTGAAAGTTTTGAAAGGTAAAACATCTCAACGAAGGATCGTTGAACTGAACCAAGGCAGAGATGGCATCCAATTGTACATCTACTTTTGTCAACTCAAAGGTATCTCCATAGCAGCGAGTAAACATTTTCAAAGCTTTTTCAGACAGTTTCCCTTTGATAATCTTGATCTTCGTCATATCTGGCTTGACGGCACTAACACAGACAAGTTGTTTCCCTCTGGCATCCATTTTTAAAATACTCACCAAAAACCTTTGATTATTATTATATTTTTTTAATCTTGTGAATAAGACAAACAAAGAAAATGGAAAATGATGAATACGTGAAATGCAAGATGTATGAATGCATGCAACATGGTGACGAGATTTATGAGAGGTATCCTTAGTTGGTAGGTTCCTAATTTTGGCCTATGGATGTTCTAACCTCCCCATAATGTGGTTTCCTTAAGGGTATCATAGATAACACTAGAGGAAAAGGCACAAGGGCCTCCTTTAAACGGAGCCTCTTTGTAGACCGAAACTTCCGTCTCTAAAGTCGTAAAAGGTCTCACCATGAGATTTTAGTTTAAGGGTTATACAAAAAGTCATAGGTTTCATTTCAAAGTCCTATCCTCCAAGAGGATACCCCTTGAGATATATTTCTTTTTCGAAATTCCACCGACTTTAGGCGAAATCGTCACAAAAACTCATAGGGATGATGTATCCCTTTTGCCAATAAACGAACCTTCTTTCTAAGATTTTTGAAAATATATTTTTTGAAATAAAATCCCCTCACAGATATAATAACACAATAAAAAAATAATAGTAAATAAAAAAATAAAATAATTAAAAAAACAAATATGGAAAGCAAAAATTAAAAAAACCCTAAACAATAACCTAAATTTAGAAGGAATAGGTTTCTAAACCCTAGGATTGAGCCCCCAGCAGAGTCGTCAGTTGTGATAACCGGCTCAAAGATATAGAGTCGCCACCAGTAATTTTTATTCTAAAAAAGGGAATATAACAGATAATCCTAATTTAGATCAGAGATTCTAAGTTGTTAACTCGCTTTAGACGAAGGGAAAGTGTTAGGCACCCCTCATCTACCTTGTTCACATGGATAGTAGGATTTAGGTTAAAGTTTAGGAAATAGGGTTTTAGTTTTTATTAGGGGAACTCACAACGGTTTTTAAGTCGTATGCTTACGTATCGTATGAGGAATCAGAGTCCCGATTCGTAGTTCATAGTTGTTTGATTAGTTTTTTTTTATGGATTATGGAAATATCTCGAATTCTCCTTGAACCAAGTTTGGGTGTGTGAATAGTGGAATTTATAGATGAAGTTTGCAGTCGATAAAGGAAGTTTTCATAATCCTTTTTGAAAATATAATATAAGTTTGAATTAGGTTAGTAAGAAAAAGTTAGTGTTTGATTGGTTAGATATTTTCGAATATATGTTGCAATTTTGAATGAAAAAATATTTAATGTAAAGAAAGTTTAAATTAATAAATAAATAATTTTATAATTTATTAAAATACATTAAATATTTTTAAAATATTGATTATGAAAAATGATAGAAAATAAATAAATAAATGAGATTATAAAAATAGATTAATTTTATTTACAAACGTAGGGAGGTGCAAAATTAGTTTAGGCAGTAAAACCTGGGGGTGTAAATAGCAGGGCCTTAAGTCCAGATATTAGATTTAGGCTCAAAACGCATGGGGGTGAGGATTTGCGTGTGGTAGTGAAACAAATTGCGTTGGGGGGGGAGGTTCGTTTAGCAATGGGCTAGGCTCAAACGCAGCTGAGGAGAGTCCATTGGGTTTGGTATGTGCACGTATATGGAATTATGATGGGGATGTGTTGTTTGGATTGTTTGATTGTGATCAGAGGGCCATAAAGGGATGGCGTAGGGTAAAGGCGTGGGGACACAGGCTCTGGATCGTGAGGGAGTTATATACAACAACCGACAGGGCCTGAGGCCCATTTTCTATCAAAAACACACCCCTCCCTTTTATTATCCAAAAACGAAAGTATATGGGCCATCAACTAAATGAGCCATTTAGATTAATAATGAGAAGAAGAAAAATTGAAAACGTACACCCCCCTTTTTGTTATTAAATAAGTCCCAAAAACTTATGTGGGCCTATAAACCCCAAATGATACACACATTCTTTAGATTTTAAACCCCTTTTTAGAATAAACTAGCAATAATAATGCCTAAAATTCTAAATGACTAATAAAAGATGAAACCGTTATTTAGAGGGGTAAATTTAGAGTATGACATCTAGAGATGAAGCATTACAGAACAAATAAACAATTATCAGACATCATGACCAAGTCACTAAAATTAGAAGATTTTGAAAGGCTTCATGAGTTCCTTGGAGTCTGACCAACAACAGATATAAACTGATTATTATTAGAAATTTCAGTTTAGGGGAAGAAATGTTGAGTAAGTGGAGCATAATTGGTGGTCATAGGAGTAATTTTAGTCAAGTTTATTGTTTTATTTTACTGAGTCAATAATCTTAATTGTTAGGATATGATAATTGTTGTGTTGCATCAGTTACTTATTTGTTCCTTTATTTTAGCCACTTCCACGTTACTAGGCTTGTAAAAGATGAGTTACAATTTGTTTCCTTTGTAATACCTACTTATGCCTTTGTCATATTTTCTTTGAATAAGAATCATTCTAAATTTGAGAGATATTTTTTGTCTAGTGATGGGCTTTTACTGTATAGTCTAAATTATAACTGCAAGTGCACAACCTATCGAAGTAATATATAAGATTATCGAACCACAAAGACCAATTGTTAATCTATCGAC